CACCTGTGGCAGACTCCCCCAGACTCAAAGTGAATGCATTCCCGCATGGATCACAAAGAGTACTGGCCTCCGTGAGTGGCACTGTGGCCGATGTGTTGATACTGTCCGACACGGCCCAAACAGAACAGAGGTCCGTAGATTGACCGTTAGGTTTAATCAAAGGCTGCGGATGAATCAAGAAAAGCAGAAGGGACGGTAGAACGCATGGGATGATAGAGCTTCGGAAAAGTAGACACACGAGAAATCGCACACTCAGTCAGTCACAGATAAAAAAACACCTGACCATCTCCGTTGCTACATTAGACCAAAACTGGTATCCACGAGAGACCATTATGAAGGGTATTGGTGAATGCGCTGGACAATAGACGGAATCATATGAGGAAAGTATGAAGACAAATAAATTCCGAAAACCGAAATGCATGTCTCCACCAAATGATACCCAGAACAATTGAAATGTAGTATGGAAATGAGGATTCGTGACGCAAATAAAAACATGCAGTCATAAAAACTAAGCCAAAATAGGACAGAAGTGTGCATAAGAATGGTATTATGAAAATGATGACAGCAACTGAGTTGACCCGATGAAACTCGAACAGTGCCTCGGAAAAACGAGTTTTCTTGTCGAGAGCCTCGATAAGTGAAGAAAAAAGCCTTACTTGAGCGCATTTTCCGTTAGACCTTTCTTGATCGAGAAATCTAGTCAGAAGCAGTTCAAACTCGTTTAATAATGCCGGTGTGGCGTTATCTCGCCATCGTGCCAATTCTGACATCCCCGGTTGGATCACGAAAGGCATTGAAGAGGAACGCGACGCGATGGAGCGAATTCTTTTTTCAATAAATTCGTTTCCAGCTATTGCACAAAAGAGGCTCGTCACTGGTGGTGGACTGGCACCGAGGAGACAGACCTGTGAATGAAGAAAAGTTGCAAAAGGAAATATAATTTTTAATATTGCCACCATTCGCATACAGAGAAACTGTGGGAGCAACAAATGCATATAAATCAAAAAGAGAGAAAGAGATCAAATCGAAGCATCGAGTTGGGGTAAAACGATGAAAATCCAAGACAGAAAATGAACGATGGTTCTTCAAAAGGATGTGTAAGCCAGTGACACATCGTAGCAGTCATTTGCAACCTAGACCTCTCGTAAAACATGCCTATTTCGAGAACAACCATTATTTTATTCCACACTTTCGTGTGATGAACAGTAGATGGGACGAACCCCATAGTCACGAAGATCTGTTGTTCCGTGATGGAAACCGATGACCTAAGCCCCGGGACTTGGAGTGGCGAACCACATGAGGCCCCGATAGGTTAATCGTGGTACTGAACCGGACGACAGCAAAGCTGCCTACCACCAAAGTTGGGTGGCGGTGGTGGGGCTCGAACCTCGGACCATAGGGTCCAAAGAACGCCAGTGATGATGACTAAACTACTGCGCCGCCACCAGCAGAATGCAATGCGATGGGCCTATAGGAGATCACGTTGGATCCAATGCAATCAACTCCAATATGGGATGATTTACACACAACTAGGAAAAAGTTTCCAAGAAATTATACACTTACTCTATAGATTCCGGAGTACAGCACTATTCCAGTGGGAGGATCCAAACAAGCAATGAGACGGGAATCTTCCACGTAAACTGCATCCACAGCTGGCAAGAATGTCAAACGCTCGGACGGTGTGATCAGTGACTTTTCGTCTACTTGGGCCTCAGTCTCATTAGATCCATTCCGTCGACCGCGGACACGCAAACACGCCAGGCAACTTGGTCGATTGGTTTTAGGTGCACCGAAGCTGGTTAGGAAACATATCCACGGAACCGACACAAAGTCCAAAGCCAAAAAGCCTTTACGCCTGACTGATCCAGATTCAGGCATACCATTGGCACCATGTTGTCTGAGAGAATGAACCCGCAAATAGATTACATCACTGGATAAAGATAACTAAACGAAACATGCATGTATACAGAGTAAACTTTATAACCCCAACCACCCACCAGTGTAGCGAAAACTAGGAGTCACGGGAACTAATCGTTCCATCACGGACACCGACAACTTAGGCCTTAGAGTTGTAAAGCGTGCGAATGCGCCATGGTATATGTGTGAGTCGGATGACAGCGAACTAACCGATCATTAAAGTTGGATCATGGTAGTTGAATGTCGGTGAATAAGCACAACCAATGGGAGACATCTAAACAACAAGTCGTTCGCGTCGAGCTGCATGATTCGGAGAGGTCACGAGAACGTGATATAACAATCGGACGCCTTGACAGTGCTAATTCAAGGGACGTACCGCATTAGGCTTCATGATGATCATTACGGTACTCGGCTTGAATTTTAAATGGACTGATGCTGGTTTTTGTATGATTCTTACCAGAACAGTAATTCGGATTACCGTTAAACGGACAACAATAATGTGAAAGGTAACAATGAAAAAGCGTCATTCTCAGGGAAACTAAAAACTCACTCCTCTTTCATCGTCGAAACGCCAGATTGGGCAACTTCAGGTAGATCAACAGTCCTCATGATTCGAGGAACCTCCTCACGTGTAACCAGTGGTGAAACCGGAAACGGATCGGTTGAGTGACCGACGTCCATCAGTCGTCTATTACTGATGCGAAACCGTGACATCAACGAAAGCTCGGTAAGATCTGAACAAGAGACCGACGGAAATGAATGAGCTGATTAAAGGTGTGAATGCTGTGCGGATATAGATTACCACTGTCATAGTGCAGCGAAATACATGGAATCGAACGTCACCGGTCGCTACCAAGCTCACAATGCACACAAAGTGCAAATGGACAAAATGGACGCGCATTGGATCCAGCTGAAGGGAGTCAAAGAAAGCGAACCTTTATGTTCAACACACACAGTGCATAAGGTACCTGTGCAATCATCCCTTTTTCAGGCAATCTTACTTCATAAGAAACGACAACAAGAAAACCACCGCTGTCGGTTAGCTGCCGTATACTTCAGTGCATCTAACCAACCAGCTGAAGTCTTGCAGACCCAAACCGGGAAAGCAGGCGCCACCTACTCTACCAAATATCTCTGTGCATTTCTTCACTCTTCGATTTCACGGCATCTGTTGACCTCCACGTGAATCCCTCCAACTTGGACCAGCAACTGCAAATAAGACGCGGTGCGGTAGACGACAGCTGGGCATGCACAATACGTGTCCTATCCAGTGAAGCCTACTGCTTTGTGACACAGAATTCTTCACCGAATCACTACCAAATACTCAACGGCTAAACCCAGGGTTTCGATTATCTATACACCATAAAATTTAAGGTCTCTCTCGCACAGTGTCGCAGTCTATGCGGCTTTTCGGTTTCAAGGAAACATCTTGCCGGTACCAAGGGTGGTTCGGTCCTATATACGCTGATCNGCTGATCGTGCCTTGAAAATGTGTGGCTATTTCCTTTACTATGCCGCCTTCATTTGTCGTACAACTACCTGAGTAAGAGAAATCATACATTGTAACTAATTCTTGTCTCATCAAGCATCAGAGCCGGTCTGTACGACAGCCGGTATTGTAGCATCATTATGCACTTTAAAGGTGCAAACATATACCAAAAGGAGTTACGGAATTCTAAGGTCTGTCAAGGGTTCTATGTGCATCCTCCATAAATTCGTACAGACGAACGGTATCGTTAGCATGCTCTAAATCGCATAGCTTTTCTACAGCTTCCCGTTCAATACCAACAATTTAGGGACCACTTCGTGCGTTGTTCATTATTTCGTCTACGACAAAATCGAACAAGGGTGGAGAAATAAGACACCCTTGATGACCCCACTGCTGGTTTCCAACGATTTGCTTAGCTCACCGTAGACATTTACGCCCCCAGAAGTATGCATAGATAGTGATCTCAATAGATTTAGAGACTTCTGTGGCATTCCCATGAGAAGCCGCCAATCTACTGGGCCTTTGCGGTCAACTGAGTCAAATGCAATTTCGAGGTCAAGGAGCACTGCGATTGTTGCACAAATGAGTGCGTGATGTAACTGGAAGACTTGACACAGGGTGAATATTTGATCGACTGAACCGCGACTTGATGAGAGTCTTGCTTGCTATTCACGAATATTCATCTCCCTTAATGGTGTCAAGAGGCGAATTAGCACAAAACTAAACACTTGTGTGATGATCCGAAGAAAACTCAGTCCACGGTGGATTGTGAAGTCGGCATGTGATCCTATCCTTTCTAAAATTTTGGATATACATGCAACTAAGTATCTGTTTATCAACATAAATCTGTATCAACAAGAAAAAATCGCAACAAGAAAGGACAATCTTTTCGTTCTTGTTTTTAGGCTTTTAATATTAAGTATATACTTCCATTCGGGAGTTTAGTCTTTAACCAGTGGCA